CACTCGAAGAGTTTCTGTGAAATCAGTTCCTGTATTTACATGTTCGATATTGTTTGATACACAGAAGGCCATCGAAGAGGGGATCAATTGTAGGGTTTCTAAGAAACCTGTATTTACATGTTCGATATTGTTTGATACATAGAAGGCCATCGAAGAGGGGATCAATTGTAGGGTTTCTAAGAGACCTGTATTTATATGTTTGATATTGTTTGATACACAGAAGGCCATCGAAGAGGGGATCAATTGTAGGGTTTCTAAGAGACCTGTATTTACATGTTCGATATTGTTTGATACACAGAAGGCCATCGAAGAGGGGATCAATTGTAGGGTTTCTAAGAGACCTGTATTTATATGTTTGATATTGTTTGATACACAGAAGACCATCGAAGAGGGGATCAATTGTAGGGTTTCTAAGAGACCTGTATTTATATGTTTGATATTGTTTGATACACAGAAGACCATCGAAGAGGGGATCAATTGTAGGGTTTCTAAGAGACCTGTATTTATATGTTTGATATTGTTTGATACACAGAAGACCATCGAAGAGGGGATCAATTATAGGGTTTCTAAGAGACCTGTATTTACATGTTCGATATTGTTTGATACACAAAAGGCCATCTATAAAGTAAACAAAACCAAAAGAACGGGTCGGGCTGTCAGTAACGATACGTGATAAAGAGGGGAGAGAGGGCTGTATATTTGACGTCATCACCACCCTCGCCGACTCCAGTGACAGAGACAGGCTAGCGGGACAAGGGGGACCTACAGAGATGGCCAGACCAAAATGGCCAGACAGAGACGAACAGAGAGAGATGATCAGCGATAAGAGAAACGAGCCGACCCGCGGCGTATCATACGCCGCTATTTAGTTGTTTTATTTTCTTTTCAGTAATTCATAATTTGTGAATTCGACAGTACCAATGCTGCCACTGAAAATATTTGCTTTAAAACAGTAACCCCCCCCCTTTCCCCCAACCCCAACCCCTCCCCTACCCCCCCCCCCCCCCTACCCGTGAAAGCAGCCTCCTCTTAGTCACCTCCTCTAAGTTTAAAATCGTTACAAACTAAATTATCTGCCCCTAATAGCCGTCACTAAACCCGGCTCTATGAATGTAAACATTTAGCGTGACCACAGCTCACCAGACCATGTGGGGGAGGGGGTGGTAGTGATAGAGAGGAAGAGAGGGGGCTGCAAGGCGCGCTTGCAGCTTGTTTTCTAACGTCTCCCAGAAGAGAATTATATATATATAGATAGATGGCCAGACAGAGGTGGCAGACAAACCAGACGGCGACAGACCTTATAAAAAAACCTTACAAATATACTATACATTGTTTACATTTTTGTTGTTAAATATCTCTAGCTCATCTTTAGTTCAGGTTTAGCTCATCCCCCTGGCAAATCCCCAAACACACATAAATAAATAAAAAAATCCATCAAAGCCACGCAGATAGCAGATCGTAAATGAAGGCTCATAAACGCCGCCACGCATAAAAAAAACCCCACAACACAACGTACCTGTATAACGTAGAGTATAATATTACCTGATAATGTAGACATGAGACGACGCCACCCACCCACAAGGTAAAGTATACACCTGCGCCACAGGTTGGTGAGAATCTCCGTAAAGGCAGACAGCCTGCCACGACCCCGCCGGTAAAAATGTACAAACACAAACACGGTGGATATGTGAGTTCAGCAAGAAGTTGTCCGGTAGTTGGTACAGCATACAGCAATCTTTACATCTAGCTTTCCGCGCAGCACCGAGTAATGCGTGCAGCATCGAGTGATGCGCGCAGCACAATGCAGTTCGAGTAAGGCTAAGCGATCCATCTAGCATCCAGAAATCCATAGAGCATTAAGTAATCCTTTGAGCGTCAAGTAATCCATGCAGCATCCACAAATGTATGCAACGTCGGGCAGTCCACAATCCCATAACTTCGTGTGGCACATTACAATCCACGCAGCATCCAGCAAGCGTTGCGGCATCAACCAATCCATACATCATTCAACATCCATGCAGTATCCAATAACCCATGCAGCATCCAATAATCCATGCAGCATCCAATAATCTATGCAGCATCCAGCAATCCATGCAGCATCCAATAATCCATGCAGCATCCAATAATCCATGCAGCATCCAATAATCCATGCAACATCCAATAATCCATGCAGCATCCAACCACTCATGCAGCATCCATCAGTCTATGCAGCATCCAGCAATCCATGTAGCATCCAACCATTCATGCAGCATCCAACAATCTATGCAGCATCCAACAATCCATGTGGCATCCAATAATCTATGCAGCATCCAACAATCCATGCAGCATCCAACAATCCATGTGGCATCCAATAATCTATGCAGCATCCAACAATCCATGCAGCATCCAACAATCCATGCAGCATCCAGCATCCAGCAATCTATGCAGCAGTCCAGCATGTGGCACAACAGCCTGACAAGACCGGCGACAGACACAATTAAATCTATCGATGTTTGCCTTCATCAAACCCGAGTCAAGTTTCTGTGTTTTTTGTCTGTTTGCCAATAGATTAAACTCTACACAAGCACAATAAGATGTACTTTTACCGAAGAAACAAGAATGTACATCATGTACTTTTATTTTGTTTTAAAATTTCACATTTAATTTAAGTGGAACTCGTTTAAAGACGCGGGTTTCATTAAGCTAAATCACGGCTTTTAATTAAGGCTCTCGTTTATTTGTGGCGTTTTTAATTAGCATGATGCAATAATTTATTAGAGCTTGGCGTAATGAGCGGATGGCCAAACCTAAATAGAAGTAAGGTCAGATTCTTATCGTTTCTGAATCCACATTTGAACAACGTACTTTAATATGTATCAGCTAGATCTAGTGCTATTACAGTTCTTTGTTCTCTTAAAACATTTAAATTTGACATTATTTCAGAGTTATGGTTAACATTATCTTTGCAGAACTAATTAAGGATTATAATAGAACATTTTATAAAATAAACCAACCGAGGTGCTAGTTAAATGGGTTACAACAAGCTGTTCCTTAAACTACTTAAAATATCAAATTTTAAATAACTTTATATTTGAGGTTTTTTGGTGTTGTAACCGCTCGTAATGACATCTTTGACATTATGACAATCGCTTATAAATAAATGTTCAGTTGGTAAAGTCACGCCACGAAGTCATCTCGGCTGTCAAATATTTTCTTACAAGACACAGTGTGAGGTAAAATTCAAAGAAGACAGCAAAAGAAAAGGCGGAAAGAACGCATCAAAGAATGTATGGGTCCAATATCTGGGTGGGGCAGTGAAGATTGTAGATGACTTAAAGGAGCGGAGGCAACTGGTCAAAAGGACATTTGTGGCGCCCAGCGGTCGTCCAGACAACCAGACAGATCCAATGCCACCATGTCTTAAGTAGAAAATCTCCGTTTGGTATCAAATCCTATCTAAAACTAATCTAAATATTCATTTACCCTTTCTGTATTTTGACATGATACCTTGCTACTTAAGATCGGGCTTATAAAAATAACATATGGACATTTTAAACTAACATCTTACAAAAAAAGTCTATTTCCAGATTACAAGTTAATTTTAAAAGTCAACATAGCCCCCTGGTGCGAAGTCATTAGCCCACTCTTTCGGGCAAAAAACTCTGAAAGAAACACTGCATTCGACTTTAAAATCGTACAGCAAACAGTTTTCTCCAGACGCCAAGTAGACGTCACAAAACATCCGACAGACAGCCGATATTTTAACACTACACAGGAAGTACAATGGCAGGTAGGCGCTAATGCAGAAGTCAATCTCTAGCAGACGTGACATAACCGCGGGCACAATGGCGCCCCAGGGCTTCAGTCAACCGTTAAGAGTTCTGAACAAATTTGTTCGCCGCCGACTTTTTAACATTTTACTTAGGGCTCCCGATTAGCTGTCACTGGTTAAAGTACTTTTATTTTGTAGATGTACTATGAAAAACTACCATCAGATGTGTTTGTTCAGTGGTTGTAAAGTTGAAAATAGGTTCTTTAGAAAAGGAATTGTGTAGAATACATTACAGATTGAAATTGGAACTTCCTAGTTTAAACAAAGCGTTAAGTAACCACGTAACGTGACTTTTTAAAAGTAAATAATGTACCTACCTAACAGCTTCACTAACGAAACTCCCCGAGCGAGAAAATAGTCCACCCACACAAAAATCATATTAAAAAACCCACTCATAAGAAGTCAATCCCAATTTAAGATAAATAACAGTATCCCTACAAATACTGACTAGGTAAAAGCCTGCCTTATATAACGAATATAAAAATATTTGTTTTAAAAATCCCGAATACATAAACGACCAATTCAAGCTATAATTATCCTCATTAATTCTTCATTAACAACCCACTGAAAGATAAACTACACACGAGAGGGACAATACAGCAACAACGAAAATTACAACCTATTCAAATTTTACAATTACAAAATCAGCGGCATAAAATCAGAACCATCACTAAGGGTAACTAAACAACCACCCGAACAAACCTTCTAACATAACCATCCAAAGAAACCATCAGAACTTATCAGCCCACATTACCACCAAAACACCCAACGAAAATTGCCTAACCACCGAGTCTGACCACCCACACAAACCACCCCACTTACCACCCAACCTACCCACATACACACCAACCATTGTCTAAGCACCCAACCTAAGCACCCCAAGCTAAGCACCAAATCTACCCACATACACACCAACCATTAAGTCTAAGCACCCAACCTACCCACATACACACCAACCATTAATTCTAAGCACCCAACCTAAGCACCCAACCTAACCCCCCCCCCCAACCTAACCCCCCAACCTAACCCCCCAACCTAACCCCCCAACCTAACCCCCCAACCTAACGACCCAACCTAACCCCCCAACCTAACCACCCAACCTAACCACCCAACCTAACCACCCGACCTACCCACACACTTCAACCACTCACGCCACCATCCCACCGCCTTCCCACAAATGACAACTCACCTTTCCCGATGACAATGTCATCCTGGTATGTGGTGATAGCGAAGCTGACATTCAGCCTCCCTAGCCTCAGCTCGGCAAACAGCTGGTAATCCGACAACAAGGGTATCGCCTTGTTCTGGGGAGATAATTCAAACACTGATCAGCCCATCTTCTGACAGGGGAGACTACCTAGTAGGTCCTGTAGATACTAGCTTTCAAATAGTTTAAAACTTAGTGAAAAAAAAATCAATTCCACACAAGTGCTAATTCTTTAAGTTTCTGAAACAATGGAAATTATTATTTTTTTACCATTATAAGAAGTAATTTGTTTAGAATAGAGTAAACAGGTAGGCTAACTAGTGCATTTAGCTTCAAGAGGTTTATATATGGTAAGCAGGGATGGGCCGTGAAATCTCGCTAAACTTTTCTTCTTCTCAACAAAAAGAATAGCATGACTAAACATCCCATAGTCCAAAAAAAAAAAAAAAAAAAAAAAAAAAAAACAAACGAAAAACAACAACTTAACAATCAAGGCGCGCACAAAAAGACAAAAGGTTATTTTCAACACTTCTAACATAATCTCGTAGTATTCTCTTGTATTCTCTTGTTTTTGTCAATTATTTTCCTCGAAACGTCAAGTAGTATGTGGCTCTAAACCATCGGCCGAAAACCGTTGGAAAATTGTCCCAAGACAGCGCACCTGAGGCCTAGAACTTCTATAGCCCAGGGACCTGGTACAGAGGCTAAAAAAATTTTCAAGAACGAATGACGTAAGGGTGTATCTGGAACTTTTATTTACATTGTTGCCAAGATTAGCCTTGGAAAGTTCTCACTCCCTGTCTAAATATAGACCGAGTTTTAAACGTCTTCTATTTGCCACCATCGGTGACTCACAATGAAAACATGCACAAACTCCACCTCATCATGAATTCTGCTAAGTTCTCGGCTAAGTCACCCGACTTAAGACGCCAGGGTTAACCTGTTTCAAACGGAGACACACAAGTCAAGTCATGACACACTTAGGGGAGGATTTCGGAATGTACCTAATTAATCTCGCTGCTTTAACCGCTGTTAAGACGAATTAAAATTAAACTGATTTATGCCAGATAAATTTGATGTGTTCTCTGTCACCAAAAATTATGGGTTTTATTTAAATCTAATATTTTAACTCCAAGAAACAAAACTTTGGAATATTCTAAATCTAGTGTTTTATTAATGGAATATTTTTTTTTTGCAAAACTTTTTCCAAGTTAGGAAATCTGACAAAATTTGATGAGTAAAAATAAAACTGTGTTAATTGGTAGTTTTAATTTTAAAGTGGTGACATCGCCATATCGCTGACATTAGTAATTAGGTCAGTTAGTTTTAATTGGAATGGATTAAAAGGAAGCCTTAATGTCGACATCGCCGTGAACTCTCAAGAAGTAATACTAATCAAGACATAAAAAAATATTTTTAAAAATTAATTAAAATGTATTATGAATTACGAATCGGAAGCATAACATCTGTGTGGTATTTTAAAACTATTCGTTGACTTCTGATCGAAAATTTTATCACGCTTTACAGTGGGGTAAGGGCAGTGAACCTACACATTCAGAAAGGCGTGGGTGTATTCTGTACCATCGGGTTAAGTAAAATGTAGGCTTTGTGAGCTAACATTGTTTCGAGAATGTATTTTGTAAGTTGTACCCAGACGAAAGTACTTTTCTCTTTATTTTCTCTCATAGAAAATTCCAGAATTTTGAATGTGTTTGAAAGCAGTCTGTGGCGTTTCAATATTTAATATACTCACTCACACGTAGGCTTACATGTTGTTTAACCACACCCCTTATATCAGCGACTATTATCAGAATTACACTACAGTACCATATCGCAGGGATATCTAGTTTATAAACATTACACTCGTGTTTACGATCACAACTACATGTAATGTATAGGACATTTATATTATCGAAACATCTATTTGTAATTTATTAACATTACACTAACAGTACAAAAACAAAGCTAAGTGTAATTGATCACCATTACACTTACATTATCAGAACACAGCTACATGTAATTGATCACCATTACACTTACATTATCAGAACCCAGCTACATGTAATTGATCACCATTACACTTACATTATCAGAACAAGTCTACATGCAATTGATCACCAATACACTTACATTACGAGACCACAGGTACATGTAATTGACCACCGTTACACTTACCTCAGCGTCCAGTATAACATGTTGAAACAAAATGCCGTTGGCCTGGTTGGTTTTGAACTGGAATGTAAAATGTAGACTCCTGGTGTCTGACAGGATGGGGAGGAACGCCAGTGACGACACGCCGGGTTTGTTGAAGGTCCACGTTTGCTCCACGGTCGCCACGGCCTCCGTCAGACTCAGCAGCGCGCCCACGACCAGGATCAGAGCACCCAGCCTGGCCGTCAGGGTCAGTTCTCGGCCTGCAGGTGTGGTCATTTTGTATCACGCCATTGTCTGGAGACACAGGTGGAACAAGTTATAGTGGGTTGTAGGTATTAGAGGCTCCAGGGTAAGTATATCAGATAAAATATATCAGATAAAATATATCAGATAAAATATATCAGATAAAATATCTCAGATAAAATATCTAAGATAAAATATATCAGATAAAATATATCAGATAAAATATATCAGATAAAATATATCAGATAAAATATATCAGATAAAATATATCAGGTAAAATATCTAAGGTAAAATTTTTCAGACAAAATATCTCAGATGAAACGTCTCAGACGAAATATCTCAGACGAAATATCTCAGACAAAATACCACAGACCAAATATCTCAGATAAAAAAGCTCAGATAAAATATCTCAGACAAAATATCTCAGATGAAATGTCTCAGACGAAATGTCTGAGACAAAATATCTCAGACCAAATATCTCAGGTAAAATATCTCAGATAAAATCTCAGAAAAATATCACAGATAAATATCTTAGACAGGTTATCTCAGACGAAAATATCTCAGATAAAATATCTCAGATAAAATATCTTAGACAAAATATCTCAGACAAAATATCTAAGATAAAATATCTCAGATAAAATATATAAAAAACATAATATTTCAAGGACAAAATAGCTAAATGACAGAATATTCCACTGCCAAAAAGCTTAGACAAACTATCTCACACTAAAATATCCCAGATACCTAAAGTACAAAATGTCTCAAGGACAAAGTATCCCAGATAAAAATTTCGCAATACAAAACATCTTAAGTATCTAAGATAATCAAAATATTAAAATACTCAAAATGAATATTGCGAAAAGATTTTGTAAATATCAATTTTGTTCGTGGTTTTTTTTTATTGATTTATACGGCTATTTAAATTTGTGATTAGTTTTATAAATATGTTATAAAATTTAGTTTTGTAAAATTTGGCTTGTCTTGTTCTATTGTTCTAAAAATAGACGCTTATACCTGAAAACCTTTTCATTTACCTACACAAACAAAAGACGCTTTTCTTATCTGTACAGGTAAAACTTGTGTATTGTTTTTTTAAATCTTTTTCATTTTTTTACGATGAGAAATTCTAAACACAAAAACTCTAAGATCGCGAACAGACGGAGACTTTGATTTCTACGTCGTTACGAATAACGAGCGTATTCATAAAACATGAGTACATTACACAACCAAGTGTATTGTCTTTTAATTGTGACGCGCACTCTTCCACTCTCAAAAACAAAATTGGTTTTTGTTTTGAAGAACTCTTTAGATAACCGCAGGCATGTATGTACAGTACCAGTGTACTTTACCGTATGGTATAAGAGGGTCAATGTAAGTAACTTTCAGAAACAAGCCCACACAAAGATGCAGGTGTTTGTGAGCACTAAAGTAATAATAAACGCTGAATTGATATACATAAATTAACATTTTGACATTTTATAAACAATACAGTACTCCAAACAACAATGACTATTGTAACACATTCATGTATATTAAAATGTATTGTTAAAAAAAAGTTATAAATATAGGCTATATCCTTAATTTTGGTGGTTTTTTTTTTTTTAGGCAAAACGATAGTTGTACTCAGCTTCCCTCTTTCTAAATCAGCGGTTCATAACCTTTCTGGAGGTACGTAGACCCACCAGTTTCATTTGGACATTTACTGAACCCTTTTTAATATTTCTATCGTCCACACTGCCAAAATCCGATCGTGAGTCCGCCGGTGTGTTTCTTGACCTCCGGCAAACCCCTGAGATTGACTTAACAAACCTCTGGGGTTCGATCGAACCCCGGTTAAAAACCATTATTCTAAATAGGACTTTACATTTAAACATTGAATTCACTATTAAAAAATAAAAAATATATATAAAAATAGAAAAAAAAATAAAAAAAAATAAAACGAGGCAGTTTAAAAATGTGTATGAAGGAACGGGAAAAACTCGTTCTGCCGTCACTAAAAATCGGGGAAATCCGCATCCATGAAGATGATTGAATAATAAAGAGGTGTTTATACATCCCTGCTTACCTTCTGTCTCTCTCAATCACGTCGTTTACAGTTTATTGTTGGCCTTACCTGCTCACGCGAGAAAGGTAAACAGGTGGGAATACGCGTGCTTCAGGTAGGAATATCCTACCGGAATTACCTGTGGTGTTTAAATTTACATGCATGCAGGATCAGTACGTCTGCGGCTTTTTACGGGGGATGGGGTAGATTTAAGAAGTTTTTTGTAGAGGGTGTTTATCTATTTAGTTATTCAAATAGCAAATGTTCAGATTGTAAGAAAACATCACAAAAAGATTTCAAAGTAGAAGGGGAAAAGTGATCATGTGGAACTTGAGGAAAGAAAAGTCGAACATTGGATATGTTCTGGTGTTGAGGGTCGGCACATTTGTTCTGTGTAAATGTGCCGAGTGTAAAATAAGGCGAAAACCCGCAACTGTAGAGTTATGTATGTAAATTATGATAAAACATTCGTCATATAATAAGTTAATCAAACAAAATGTAATGTAATAAAAAAAATGAAGAAACAATCAAAGTGGAATAAAAAAAAAATTAGTAAGCGGTTCATGTGTATGTTTAATAAGAAAGTTAACACCAGTAACCCTTTTTCAATACATGGTTGTAAATTACAAGATCAGCAACGCATCATATCTACAATATCATGTCTACATTAAGTAAAATAAAAGTAAAGTTCCCCTTTAGAACATAACTATACATGGGGCAAGTAAAGTATTGCTACACTAAGTAAAGTAAAAGTAAAGTTCCCCTTTCGAACATAACGGTCCATGGGGCAAGTGAAGTATTGCTACACTAAGTAAAGTAAAAGTAAAGTTCCCCTTTCGAACATAACGGTCCATGGGGCAAGTGAAGTATTGCTACACTAAGTAAAGTAAAAGTAAAGTCCCCCTTTGGAACATAACGGTCCATGGGGCAAGTGAAGTATTGCTACACTAAGTAAAGTAAAAGTAAAGTTCCCCTTTCGAACATAACGGTCCATGGGGCAAGTGAAGTATTGCTACACTAAGTAATTCTGTAAAAACACGCACTACTCTCTGTGGGACTTTAGTGGATCACAGATGTTTTACTAAGGAAGAAAAATGACCTAATTGAACTTTATAACACAGCGAAGATGTATAATTCCTTCAAGATCAGGTGCCATCGAGCCTGTATTGGTACGAAAACTTGAGGACACCAGTATACAGTGGTCTACTACTTACATCGTTAATGATAATTTAGACATGTAAATTTAGTACATCGCGTCACACGCCGTCCTGTAAAATAATTTTGAAATTGCCTCATGAAAAAGTGGTGGTTTAGCGCAGTGATTCTCACACTGGGAGATGTGCCTCACTAGGGCATCGCGGACTAGTGCTAGGGGTTAAGCAGAAAGCTCAACAGTTGAACACATGTGATGTGACGTATAGGGCATTGGACCTCAAAGATCAAATTTGTTTTCTATCTTATTTTAAGAGTCTAATTTGCTTTACAAATTTTACCTTGTTGCATTTCGGAAACACATTTTTAATTTTTTTTAAATAGATCAATACGTTAACTCAACTAGCTACTTCCAATAAATTTAAAATACCAAATGGGAGACAACCTGATACAATTTTCCAAAAAGATATTTTAAAAATCAGGGAGATTCAATAGTATTAAAAATAACATTGTTTGTTATTTTTTCAAACAGGAATATTTACAACCTCATACAACTGCCGGTCCAAGTTGTATATTTCAAATATGTTTGACTTACAATTTGACTCTGCATTATGTAAAAACCTATCAGTTATTTAAATACTTTAGTTGTAGAGATGCAAAAATTCACTGTATTCACTGATGGTAAAAAAATGGCAGGGTTTTTAAGCTTAACTTTCCCAGTGTTTAAGTACTCACTTGCAGAAAAAAATCACGCCCAAAGATGGCTTCCATATTTTTCAACTTTCGAGATTGTACCCTCCCTGCCCTCTCCCTGATTTCCAACTATCAACTAAATAAGTAAACAATGGATTCAAGTTTTTGTTCTGATGAAATATAATTAAGACGCTCTGTATGAAGAATGTACAAATGATTGTGAAAAATATTTTTGTAAAACTACATCAGGCCTCACAAGCCGTTGATGAAAATAGTAATACAAGAGCAAACAAGGTGACAATCGCACTGATGATAAAATTTACTTGTCCTAGCCACACAAAAAAATAGCCATTGGTATAGGGACTGTTCAATCTATACTCGGTAATTAAAAAAAAAAAAAAAAAAAAAACGCGGCATTTTTCCCCAGCCCTGGTGGTTAATTTTTAAATAGAATCTAAAAAATTAATTAGTTTTTATTATTGATGAAGACCTCCTATTGTGCAGCAGGGCCTGGAGAAATGAAATAAAAATGGCACGGAGCTAGTGGTCATGAAGGTTGATGTGTTTGTTGCTGGGTTCGAATCCTTGCCAAGCTAGAGGTACAGAGTCCTGTTAGACTTCCCGGGTTAAGCGAGCTTTGTCTTTTAAATATGCTATTCGAACCATAGACACGTTGAGTCGAAATAAATTTTGTTTACCAGGTACATGTATGTTTGACTGTCGAGGAACTTAAAAAAAACCGAATGGTGGATGGGGGTGTTCTTGAAGGTGTAGTCGCCTCAGTGTAACAATTTATAGACCGCTGCTTTACAAATATACCTATTTTTCACAAAATACTTCTAGCTGTTTAAAATAATTCTATAAACCTTATTTCACTTGTCGTGTCCCAAAAACCCACCCCCTTCCCCCTTCCCTACTTCTGTTTCCGCACCCACATCGCAAAAACATTTCTAATATAAAATAATCAACATCATTTTCATCATCATTTTCCATTACCACGGAACTGTTATTCGATGAAGGGGGAGGAAGGAACAACAGAAGAACATTTACTTACCAGCTTAACATTAAAATACAGATGGCCGGCCCTTAAACTACAGTGTAAACTAAATACTTGATGAACTGTTTTAATACATTAGAATAAGGAACTATAGAACTGTGTAAT